GGACCCTCGCACCGGTCGTAGGAACGAACCGGCAAATGTGGTTTGTGAATGACCATCGCGAGGAGCCCGGTCCGGCCTGCCTTCCGTTAGGTGGGGTCGTTTGCACTTGGGGTCCATCATTCGGGAGTGTCGGCTGCTCATGTGACTGCAGGTATGTTCTGCTTCCACCCACCTGTGTCTTCTCCTGTTTTCCTCCTACCCCAGCTGTGATCGGTGACAGCTCTGTCTTCGAAACCGAAATGGATTTTTTTCTGGGTCCATTCTCTTTGAAACGTGTCTTTAAAAAAAAAGTGCCTCTTAGAGAAGGCAGGAACTGTGTTGAGTCCGGTGGAGAGGAGGGAGGAGGGATGGCGTGAGAAAGCGAGCAAATACCTGTAGCTTTGGCAATCCACCAAAGGATTGGATTTAAAAAATAATAATAATAAAAGAACCCCACGGGTTACATGTACAGTGTCCATGTGACCAGCAGAGGGAAGTGTGTTCACTGGTGGAAAGAGAGGCAGGCTGAGAGATTTCGTAAACGGCGTACAGCTGTCATTGCTTTTACTAGTAAAGCACCTTTGATGTTTCTCTTGGAATTATCGTGTTTTCTTGGATTGCAAAACCCCCATTATTAACCGGTAAGGGGCCAATCCGCAAATGCTCTTTTTTTTTGGCACGAAATTCGCCATTTTTTAAGCGTAAAAATATCTACGGTGTTAACAGCTTCAGAAAATTTGACATATGGAGTTTTGAAGCTTGTCAGTACAACAAAACAGCAGACAGATCAAGTCGCATATGTATCAACATACGTGTGACTCCCATCTATTGAGAAGAATCTGCATTATTAACCGGTACACCTAGTAAAATGAAAACTTTCAAACATACTGAAAAGTTTGAAGAACCGAGTCATTGCGTATGTTCTCTTTCTTTTTGGATAACACAATTAACTAATTTTGTTCAGGACCAAGGCCCTGCAGGGGTGGGTGGGTATGGTTATTATAACCAGGTTTTATAGCCAAGTTCACTGTGAATATGAAAATGTCCAACTTGCTGTCTTAGGGGTTCAGTAGTGTGCTCCACTGTATCTTTTTGTAGCTTTGGGTGGGTGGGTGGATGGGTGGGCGGGGCAGGAATTGTGGAAGACAAGATATCCATTCTGTCTCCTAAGACTTTAAGATTCCTAAAAAGGGTAGAGGAAGAGGAGGGAGAACCAAGGGACCTTAATATTTATTGGGAGCTGATGTATATATACCAGGGACAGTATTAGGCATTCTTCCATACATTGTCTCATTTGATCCACCTGGATACAGTGAGGCATTATTATTCCTTCTCTTCAAATAAGGACACGGACTCGGAGAAGTCGACGAACTTGTCTAGGGCTGAGGATTCCTGTGGATTTAAAGCTGATGTCCTTCCCACAACCTGGATGCATCCTTTCCAGGATCTTTTCATGTTCAAGGTGCTTGTGTAAAACATGCAATACTGTATGTGTGTGCCTGCTCCCCCCATGCACATTGGCACCGTGACTAATACAGGTTAACGTATTCCATGTTACGATGTGAATAAAACTCTAGATTCAGAACCAGCTTTGTCTAGTTTTCCCCAGTAGAAAACGGGGGTAATTACTGCCTCTTTTCCACTTGAAAGGGCTGATGTGACCATTAGGTGCCAAGATTAGTTGGTGGTCAGAACAAGAATAAACTACGACTCCCAAAATGCCCCAAGAGCCAGCCTCGGGTCCGGGAGTCACTTCCAGCTTTGGGACAAAGGTGACCCCACGGGGTCCGGCCGCGAAGCAGGGAGCCTCGGATTCTCGCCCCTTTGCTGATGCATCCAGGGATTTGTAGTTCCGTGAAGGCCACAGGGCGCCCTTGGGG